GTTTGGGGATCCAGCATCGGACTCCAAACGGGGGTCAAGCCGCTCGGACACAAGCAAAAAATCAAATTGAGACTGAGTGAATGACCTCTATTTTGGGGTCCGTTTGGAAAACGGGGGTGCTCTTCCCACCAACAAGCAGAGTTTCCATCCTTCCCATGATGATTTGGGCACACTGCCCACATGGCGTCCGCACTCGTGGAAAAAAGAATTCCATGGGTTTTGCAGCGCCGCGAGCATGTTCTCCATGCGAACACGAATGTCGACACATGTTTTTGAACTGGGGAGGCTCTCTGTGGCGAGACCGGTTTTTGCTAGAGTTTTTGGACCGCAAACTGGTTTCCAGAAAAATTTTCTTTTTCCATCTCTTGAAGGAGCAAAAAGTTTGGAAAACCAATGTGATTTGAGAATTGGGAGAAAGTATTTGGCGTGCATGATGTTCTTGATCGAAAACAATCAAGCTTACAGATCAATGGTCAGCTGCTTGTCTCAGCAGTCTGATTGCGGCACGCTTGGCGCATGTTTGTTTGAGAGGGAAGAAGAGTGGAAAGGATGTTGAGCGAAGGTTTGGCGCAGTGGAGCCGTGGTTGGGTCAGTGTTCAGGAGCCATTTCTGGTCGTTCAGTATGGCAAGGAATCCTTGTTTCATTGCATTTGACGTTGTTGTTTGATGCATGTTGTGAAAGATGGGCTGTTGAAAAGATATTGTTGAGGTTCGTGCTCACGTTCTTGGTGTTTGTTGCAAGCTACGCCAGGCTGACCGTCCAGATTCCGGTTCCATCTTAAGAATCGTTTGAATTTTTCCTTGCAACGTTTGGGTTTTTGCGACTACAAACAAGCTCTGGGTTGGGTCGGACAATCCACAAAAAGCGCGGTGCAGGTGTCCAAAGACAAATTGCATTTTCGGGTGAACTTGTGGCATTTTGGGGTCCAAAAACACCATCAAAACCTGTCTCGCCACGCAGGAGCCTTAGCCTTCCCAGTAAGGCGGAAGCTTGAGCTTCGGTACCTTCGGCGGAGGGGGGGTCAGGGAGGGAACCTTCGCAGGGGCTTAAGGGAGGGCTTGAGCCCCGTCGAGGGGGGGGCTGAAGGTCCCACGTCCAGCCTCGGTTTGGTTTTTCCTCTTTCAACATGCAGAGTTTCCCTTTTAGAAAGATGACCTGTGCATTCCGCATGCAAAAAAACATGTACTGCAACCACCGTGCTCGGCAGCTTGACTATTTGCAATTGATTGCAATCGCCATGTCTCCCGTTCAACGGTGTGCAGAGTAGGCTCTGCCCCGACGTGTCGTGCCGCAGCACAGATGAGAAAGCATTGGCTGGGATCACCCCAGCAGCATTTGGTGGGATTCGCACCGCTTTCGGGCAATCTTCGTGTTGTGATCACAAGTTTGGAAGCACTTTTGGACAATCAGGTGGAAATGCGTGTTTGCCCAAAGGGCCTCCTGGGTTGGATCGCACAGGGCCTCCTGAGTGTGCGGGTGCAGGAGAGTGAGTTCACAAAAAGGTTTCCAAGTGACTCACCTCTGGAAGTTTTTCAACAAGGAAGTCCTTGAGCATGTGGTTTATTCCCGGTGCCTTGTCAATTCTACGGAGGAAACCCCTGACTTTGGTTTGTATGATTTCGACTTGCACCCTTGCATTAGCTTACAATGCTCTCCAAATGCAATTACGTCCACAGCGTTCTGACTCAGGACGCTTCGCTGCCTGCAAGAAAGAGCCAGGAAAGACGTGAGACCCACAAATAAAATGCAGCAAAGCAACAACTCGCGGTCAGATGAGCTGAGAGCCGGTAATTCATTGCCCCTGTTTCACCTTTTCATTTTTTGATCGACACGGCCGCTCGAGCTGCATACCAGGTTGCGGTGTTGGGGTTTGTTTGGTTTGTTGGTTCTTTGTGTTGGGCTTTGTTGCTTCTTCGATCTGAACAAAACAAGCGCAATGCGTACTTGCCTTTACTCCTATAGGCATAGCTGTTATGGAGTGACACACGCCAGGTTTGCAATAGGTTTTGCTCAGGGTGCAAGCAGCCAACCTTAGTTGGTGGCCCAGCCCGTTCGCAAGTCCAGCCTGCTCCAGAGAAGAGCACCTCGATGTCCTTTCTAGCAGGATGTGATGATCCATGGATGCCTTCCACTGACACAAGCATGCAGCATCATGACCTAGATTTGGTTGATGGCTTCGGCCAGGAGGGCGATCAAGCACACCCTATGTCCATGCTAACGCAGGGTGGATCACCCAAGCCAATGCACACACCTTTGTTCATGGCTGCCCAACTACCAACCATAGTAAAGTTTGAGGCTTACCAAGCTCTTCGGGCACCTAGCACCACGCGAGCCTATTTTGGACTTGACCACACCTCAGGCCAATGCAAAACAGGAGGTTCGGTCGCAACAAGAGACGAAGATCCAGGGTACGCCGCTGCTGACCTTTCAGGGCATGTCCCGGATCACGTAGCAGTCATTCGATGCCTCTTACAACACAAAGACCTTATTGATAGGAACGACATGATTTATTTGACTTGAGTTACTGGCCAGGAAGAAAGAACCAGGGAAACAAACAGAAGACAAACAACCCCAAAAACCGCAACGGAAACCCAAAAACAGAAAGGGGGCAAACTTCCTGGCCACGTCGCAACTCAAGTAGATCTTGCAAGAGTGAGACGAAAGAGAAAAGGTGAAACAAGGGGCTGCGAATTAAGCAAAAGGCCTCTCAGTACTTCTTGCGTGTGTTCTGCTATGCGAGGACTATTCAAATGTCGGACATCAGCATCGCGAAGTGCTATGGTGCCTTAGCGCTTTTGACGTGGCGCATGGCACCTGGCCTGGGTATGCAGGCTGCGGAGTTGTGTATGTTTTTTGGCGAGAGGCTTGTATAACCACGCTGCTGGGTCACCGTAAGCATGTGCGAGAGTCATTGAGTTCGGCGACAGAGCCTTTGCTGAATGCTGTTCGCTACAATGCATTGGTGTACAGGATGACGACAGCAACATCCTTGCCCCGGGGGCAGTATTAGCTCCGCACTTATTTGAACACTGCTTAATGCTCTCTCAGGTGACGCTGTCGCGGTGCACTGCAGAGCAGAAACTACCCGCACCGTTCAAGTACCGCGGACCACGTTTCAGCTTCTCAGGGCTCCAGAGCCTTAACCTCCTACCGGAAACCACCTTTCTAGGTTTAGCATGTGGGAACTGCAAGATCCTAACTCACGTAGACCTCTCGTGCACCGCGATTTGTGCCATTCATGAGAGCACCTTTTCCCATTGCGTGAGCTTGCTTCGAAAGACATTACGAGATATTCACAAGAAGGCCTTCATGGCCTGTTGCAGCCTGCAAAGTGTCGACGTGCCACTTACCCTCCGCTATGGTGCGCATAAAGCCTTCTTTGACTACAGTCAGTTAACACACCTTGCGCTCATGGCAAACGGACTACATGGAGAGTTTCGATCTTTGCGGAATGCACAAGTTTCGATCTTTGCGGGTGTTTTGCTGTCCCGAGCTGGCTCCACATGCTCCCCCGAGAAGACCAGAGCGCACACCACACAAACGCATACCAACGAAGCCATGCGTAATGGTGGATGCCAGGTCTGATCATTTGAGATCTTGGGCCTCCCTTTTTCAGTCTGGACCTTCAGGATGCTCAGACCTCCATACATGCTTTCCTCAGCACTATGGCACCTATCGCCGGTGGCGAGTGGCTTTCGTCATGTGAACAATCTGAACCAGTGGCTCAAACACCATGGAGGACTTGTCAGTCTGAGGAAATGCTGATCTTCCAGTTTCGGGCATTCAAACTATCCTGATCGTGCGGGACTTGAAAGCAATATCAAAGATGCACCCGAATCAGCCAAGTGTTGTCAGGTCTTTGGATGACTATTGAGATGATGAGGACACGATTGTTTATGATTATTTAATTGTTTTTCACTTTGTCTTTTTCAGCAGGATGCAATGCTCATCACATTGAAACCTGTTCAGGTGGCATTGAAATGTTCATAACACGTGCAGATTTGCATCAATGGAGCCATCAATTTTCATCAGCTTTCAAGTCTTACACAGTAAACTGACGATATGTTTTTTGCAACAAAATTCCTGCAAAAAATAGAAACGTTTTTTGCCACGCAAAGACAGCTTATGGCTTTGCAATTCTTTTCGCCGTTCTGTCGCTCTGCGCTCTTTTTTTTCTTATTTAATTCCCATCATTGCAGCATGTGCCTCGTGAGACCCCTCTTGATCAATGACATGAAACCTGAAACATACCGGCGGATACCGACCTGTCAGCCTCAGCTGCATTTCCGCTGCAGAAAACTTTGTTGATATGCATATTGTTCCTGATTGAAACCACAATTGCACTTGCCAGAGGACATGCAATGAGCAAGGTCAAGTCTGTGTGAACATGACATAGACTGCATTTTTGAGATTCCGGCGGGGTCTCAACATCTGCTTTTGTCACTTTGCCTCCTGTTTCCTATTTTGTCAGCTCATACAAAACCGTACAAATTTCACCTGATGTGTCGACCGGTTTGTCTAAATCGTTAATTCCTTCTAAGGGCAAATTTTATGTTCATTTTCATGCTCTCAACTTCAGTTGTGATGACCGCAAAATTTAGGTCCCTCTCAGCGTAGCCCAAAATGCACACGGTTACGTTTTCGGATCTAACCTTGACCTTGTTGTGGAAATTGTACGTTGTGCAGCCTGCAAGCTGCTACTTGAGTTTTTTGTGTTGTCAACAGCTCTCTTTTGGGTTTGGTGATCCTAAACCTTTACATGTGCCAAGGCTAGTGCGTTCCATTCTGGCAGCTGCAGTTATACAATTGCCAATCTGTAGACAAAAGTCGCATGGCCAAATGAATGATGTTTAGATTCAATAGTATTTTGTGTGTTTTGTGTTCAAAAAGGCACATACACTGCCAAGGCCCTGTGCTTGTTTTGCGAATGCTTGTTTGCATGCTTTCCGCAGTTTGGCCCTGTCAGCATCTTCCAGCTTTGTATCCCTCTTGTGGTGCCATGCAAGTGGTTGCATTAATTGCATTCCATGTCTCCTTGGTGCAAAGTGCTTGGCACGCCAATCTCTTCGAGACATCAAGGATGATGCAAGCTTTCACACAGATCAAGGACTATGAAAACGAATTTGGTTCCGAAATGAACGTCCCAAGCATTGTGGTGATTGGAGTGGAAAGCGCTGGCAAATCCACCCTGCTATCAGCCATTGTCGGAGTTCCTCTGACCTTCACCCAGGGCAACACCGGGACACGCTGTCCGGTGCGCTACCGTCTTCGCTATGGTGAAGATGCCAAAGACCCTGAAGTCAAAGTTATGGGACAAGTCGCTTGACACATTTACTGGCAGCTTTTGAAGATTGTGGAAGAGGAACTGGCACTCGGTTTGGCCGCAACAAGCGCAAAACTTTGCCTGTAGGTCAGTCTGCTGTGTTCGTGTGACTAAGGTCATCCCTCCTGAAAAATTGCCAGAGAAGGTTCAGCTGCACATGGAGTCTTTGGCTGGCACTTTTCGTGCAGATACCTTCGACGTGGAGATCACCTCAAGGCTGGAGAATTCGATGGATGAGTAGATTGTATAATGCCGCCAGTTTTGTTTGTTGCTTCGAGCCAACAGTTTTAGCAAACTTGAAACTTGAGTGAAGCGATGAAAAAGCGATTCGTGAGAATGAGAACCGTAGCGACATGTCAGGCATGTACCAGACTTGGAGATGATTGACATGCCTGGCATCATTGCCCATCCGAATCCCAAGGATCCTGCTGAGATCGCCCAGGTGCGAGTTTCAAGACATGCTTTGCCTCAGTACCGTCGCATTTGCACGGTTCTCCCAGATTCAACATGCCCCTTTGCTCCCTTGATATTCTCCCAACTGCCAGGCCGAGGAGGTCGAGAGGATTCAAGCCAAGTTCGTTCGAAACCGAAACATGGCCATTGTCGCAGTGGTGAAATGCACTGAGAGGTTCAAGACAATAGCTGACTTCAAGTTTTTGGATGATGTCGCAACGAAGGAAGGACTTGTTGACCTCCCGCCCAGGCCACACACCTCACACAACCGACTGACAGCTCCTTGAGTTTGGACATGACTTGACCTCTAGAGGGTACTTGTTTGCTTTTCAATTGCAAGGACCTTTGTTTAGTCATGAACATTAATTATATCCCATCGACAAAATCATTGGCCAGGTGGGTTCGAATGTCAGAATTTGTTGCCCTCAGGCGAGAGTGGAGGAGCCAGGTGCTTATTGTAGCCAACAGGCTCAACCAGCAGGTAGACACTTGGTCGATGCAAGTTGCAAATTCATATTTTGCGGAGGCGCGGGAGCAAGGAAATGCATACAAAGGCATATTCTTTGTAGCTCTGCGGCCGCCAGTTGCTGGAGTTGTCGACCCTGACGCTGCCCCATATGACCAAAAGAAGGCTTACTACGAGAAATTGGAGGTTGTTGAGCACCAGTGGCTTCAGGGTTTGAAGCAAGCCATGTCAAACAAAAGTTCTGGTGTGCCTTGGAATCCAGCAAATGACGGTATGTTTGGACTTGCCAACGTCAAAGACAGCATTGTGAACACTTGGAGAGAGGGGTTTCTGGCAAAATTGCCGTCTCTTTCTAGCAAGATCGAGAAGGAAAGGCAACATTCCAAACAAAGAATGCATGAGCTTGAAGAGAAATTGCGTATGGTAGACCTAAAGCTTTTGCGCCAGAAAATGAAAGACTTCTTGGCTGACTTTGTCCATCGGTACCAAGCCTTGGCAACAGGGCAAGCTGTGAAGGACTTGCAAGGCCGAGATGTCACAAGCTTCAAGCTCTCACGCATGCACATCTACGACCCAGCACGCTATGGCAAGACTTTCGAGGAGGAGATGAAAATGACTCCAATTGACAAGAGCAGGTGTGGGTGGCTTCTGACTTGGGAGGAGTTGCTTTCAGACCAGAGGCTTGGAGCACAAGACCAGCACCTCGGAGAGGAGTTGAGTATGCAATACCTCGGCATGGCATCATATGAACGTTCCTTGAAGATCATGGAATACATGATGATCGCGCGGAACTTCGATCATGTGTCTGACGACAATATCCGCATCATGGCACGAGGGCATTCCAAATATGGCACTGGAGCATTCCCGTCCAATGTCCCTTGCTTGCTGAGACAGCTAGCTTTACATCTATATAACTTTCCTTGAATATCTAGGAACCATTTTGATGGTGAGGGTTCTGCTAAGAGTCCTCTTACTTACTTGCTTTCTTGCCTCCCCTACCACTGAACCCATCACCTACCGCCTATAAATGAGAACAGCTTCATGTTCCGAACTATGTTATATGGCATAGTGCTAAATTATGTAACTTGTTTGATCACATCTGCCTAAGGAAGTGGTGCTTCAAATCGCCTCCGACCAGGTACACCAGCTCAATGGAGGAGTAGAATGGTACACGGATTTTCTACAGGCCAACTTTGTTGACTACATGAACCCAGTCATGGAGTACATGAGCCATTCTACTCAGTACGGCATGGTGACGTCATCAGACAAGTTTATGCTGAAGCTGCGACAGCACTTTGAAGGTGTGGTAGCGAGGCGCATCAGTGGTGTCGTTGAGATGTATGGAAACGATGTCCGTCGGTACACACGTTTCCGTGCAATCGATGTGATCACCAAGCTTCACATGGCCTCTGCAATGCTTCCCATGGAAAAGATCATCCCCACCGAGGCCATGTTGCTTCCGGAGCCTGCAATGGCAACGAAGGTGTCAACTCAATCTTCTGTCCGAACGCAAGGTGAGTACGTGATGCCCGTGAACAGTCCAAGACAGAAGAAGGTGGTTGCTGAGCGCGAGCTCAAAAAGTTGGAGGCCATTCGAAGCATGTCAACATGTCAGTGTCATGACCCAAAGTTATTCAACATTGGAGACTTTGTTCAGGGAGGGTATGCGCAAGTCTATCCGATGGAGTGGTCGATGATTGACTTCGACTACTTGCGGAACACTGCCTACCAGTACTACGTGCGAATTGCAATGATCCTCTCTGAGCTTCTTCGTGCTACACTTCATTCTGAGTTTCTGGACAATTTGCTGGATACCAGCGAGAAGACCTTGATGAAAGACATCTTGAACATTGAATCTGAGCCGCTTGTTGGCATCTGTCTTTTGTGTTTTTTTTGTTGTACCAGTGTCTTAGCTTCCCCCCTTTGGCACAAGCGACTAAGGATTCAAGAAGAAGAGCTGAAAGAAATGGTCCCAGTGAACCCAGATATGTTGACCCAGAAGCTAAATGACGAACAAAACAAAAGCCAACGACTTGGCTTTATCAGTCATACCTTGGGACAGCTCCGTGCAGACATCAGGAGTCATGTCGAACCCAGAAAGCCCATCGTCCACAGCGGAAGCATGTTGGACAACAACACAAGTGAGATAAACGATATCAACACAACAGTCAACACCACCGTCACAGCTTGCTCTTCTGAATGGTGCCAGCCCGGGGATGAAGATGATGAAGATGATTCCGTTATGTAACTGTGGCATGTGGGAAGTTACCATCAGAGCACTACAGATAATGTGCTCTTACTTTGAAACCCATGTGCAAATTTTGGGCCAGCTAGCTCCACTTCTTCAATATGTTTCTGAGAGCAAGTCAGTCCACATGTTCACCTTTGTTTTGATTGCTTGCTTGGCCAGTACATGCAACGCCTTTGCAACAAAAGCTTGCAGAGGGCTTGGTAGCAGGAACAGGCAGTTGAGTGAGCTGAGGAGACCACCTGAAGTCGATTTGTTGCCGAGCTCCGTTGCGCATTCCTTTTTGTTGGATGTATGTACATGATTTGAAGGCGCCTAGCAGTGCACAAGTGCTCAGCAGTGCTCAAGCAGCGTGATCAGGAAGTCAACAAACACCAGGACAAGTCCTTCCAGCGAGAAAGCATCACCCGCGACTGCAAAACAACACCTTGCAAACCATGAGTGCAACTCCGAAACAGGTTGGCAACATTTTCCTATGCTGCGCTCAGCCAGCATGACATCTTCGAGAGTTGGAACGACCCTGGCATTTCATGCCCACTTCATGTGAATCACCACCATGGTGACCAAAGTGGCCTGGCATCATTCTGGATCGCTTGAATCATGCAATTCTGTGCAGACCCGGTAGGTACGTCTTTTTTGCTCTAGATAAATTGGATGAACGTTTGAGATTGACGGGCGACCCAATCGGTGCTTGTAGTTAGGAAAAGGCAGAGGAGACAGATGTGGAGGCGCCTGCAAACTGACTGAATGAACAAGACACAAAGGAACCTTGTCATACTCATACGCATTGTTTGGCTTGCTTGCTTTGACCAACAGCTAGCACTGTCAGTGCTGGCACGGAACTGCGATATATTGTGAACAGTATTGTGACTTTGTCCAACTTTGTTCTCAACAGAGACATTGGCAAGGAAGTCCTTTGACCATCTTTGACCATACGCTGGCAACTACTGAAATGAGTTTCTCAGACATTCTTTTGTGGAATGGCAATATCGCACGTATGCTTTTGATTTGCGCACGTTGCACGTTTAATAGCCTACTGACTAGCAATGTGCAGGTGACAGGGGTTGCCTGAGTCACTCGTTTTGCTCAACTTTTCTTGTGGTTAAGTTCAGTTGACAGAGTTTGATGTTGGATGTGAAGGCCAAAGCAAAGCGGCCAGGGCACCCTAGACAGCATCCGTCATTTACGCTGTGGGTCAAAGGCTCAGAAGATTGTTTGGCTGAGCAGAGTTGGAGTGAGGCCGCGCACAGATGGCGCGGGTGCGCCACCACTCTTCTCCAATGGAGGCTGCATAGATGCATGTGATGCGATTGTGTTCAATGATTCTGTTCGTACTGGCACACAGAGATGGTCGAAACTCGCTTTGGATCAAAAGTGTGGTCTCCAAAAGGTTTTGACTTGCAATGCAAGGCTATACAGAAGCCGCTGATGGCTGGTGGGCACATAGTGGGGGTGAGTATCGGGCTCAGAGTCAAGCACACAACTGGCAATGAGCTCTGCTACTGAAGCAAGAGATGAGACACATCATCCCGAGGTGGCTGCACAACAAAAAGGAGATGGCGTACTTTCACTTGCACGGTCCTCAGTGGCACAACTGACAATCTCATCTTTAAAAAACAGGTAAAGCAGTTCTTCGCCGCGGATTATTTTTGTTTTTGGTTGATATATACACATATAATCACGTATATATATATATATATTGATCAATATCTCGTTCTAATATGGTACCAAGGCCAACTGGACAGCTTCGGGTGGTGCTCGATGATGCCGAGGTGATCGGTTTTGGCTACCGAGGTGATCCGTTCTTCTTGCTCCGTTTCGAGGCTCCGAGCCAAAATGAGACGAACCAGAATGGCAAGGAGCAGGAGATAAGCAGAGACATTGGTCGCTACTAATGGAACACTGGCAAATCCCGGGCTCTCGAGCACCAGATTTGAGCACCAGAGGAGGATGAGGGCCCACTTCTGCGTGGTAAAGTAAGATGGCCGGGAAGCCAAATTGACTAAGTCAGCTGCAACAGCAATCAGCTGCACAAGACGCCAGGCCATTAGGCGAGCGTTTTGGTTTGATTCAGGTTTAATGCGAAGAAGGGTTTTGGTTTCATTGAGCCCTTGGATGAAGCAGCCAATGTCCTGGAGAAGGCCTTTTCTTTCTTTCTTTCTTTCTTTCTCTTTCATTATCATTCATTTTTTCCATTGCTGATACATGGCATGGCGATTTGTGGAGTGAAGAAACAATTGTTTCGATGTTTCTCCCTGCAGAGAACTTGATGTTTCTCCCCGACATTTTCAGCAGACTGATGGTGATTTGCCTCTCTGCATCCAGGACCTTTTTGTGCACCGAAACCAGATACTCTCAGGCCTTGGTATTCTGCTTTCTGTGTTTTCCAGATGACTAGGACCGTGTTTTGCGTGATGATTCTCGTTTACTTGTGTGCAAGAAGATCCAAGCTTCGACCTCTTCTAGGTGCAGAGAAGCCGGAAGAGGGTGAAGCAGAAGCCTTTGCATCTCTGGAGGCACCAAACTCAACAGAACAAAACGGGGTCAGCTCTTGGATCTTGACCGATACAGCTCTTGGCTCTTGTCTTCAAGAAACATGCAAAATCACGGAGCTGATGGCTTCAGACTTGCTTGCACCTTTTTCGGCTCTTATTATATAGGTTGGAGGCCATTGCTTCTAGGTTGGAGGTCATTGCTTCTATTGCTTCTAGGTTGG